TGTCCTCGGTTTTGGGCCTTCAATGATGTTTCATTGATCTATGTGTCTTTTTTTGTGCCAGTACCATGCTGTGTTTATGACTGTAGCGCTGTAGTATACTTTGAGATCTGGTATAGTAATCCCCCCCAGCGTTGCTCTTTTTGCTCAGGGTTGCTTTGGCTCTCTGAGGTCTTTTGTGCTTCCATACAAATTTAAGGCACTTTATTTTCTAATTCTGTGAAGCATGTTATGGGGATTTTGATTGGGATTACATTGAATATGTATATTGCTTTTGGTAGGATGGTCATTGTCACACTATTAATTCTTCCAATGCAGGAGTATGGGAGGTCCTTCCATCTCCTGGCATCTTCCTCAGTCTCTTTCTTTAATGATTTAAAATTTTCATTGTAGATGTCTTTGGTGTTTTTAGTCAGATTTATTCCTAGATTTTTTTTTTTTTTTTTAGACTATTGTGATTGGGAGGGTTTCTATGTACTCTGATATATATAGAAAGGCTACTGATTTTTGTAAGTTGATTTTGTAACCTACCCCTTTGATGAAAGTATTGAATATTTCTAGCAGTTTTCTGGTGGAATTTTTGGAATCTCATGTATAATATCATATTGTCTGCAAATAGTAATAATTTGTCCTCTTCTTTTCAATTAGTACCCCTTTAATTTCCTTCTCTTGTTTTATTCCTCTAGCAAGAGTTTCAAGAACTATATTGAAAAGGAGTAGAGATAGTGGACAGCCTTGTCTGGTTCCTGATTTCAATGGGAAGTTCCTAATTTCAATGGGAAAGCTTCCAGTTTTCTCCATTTAGAATGATGTTGGCTGTGGGTTTGATATATTTAGCTTTAATTATGTTGAGGTATGTTCCCTCCAGTCCAATCCCCTCTAGGACTTTGAACATAAATGCATGCTGAATTTTGTCAGTAGCCTTTTCTGCATCTATTGAGATGACGATGTGGTTTTTGTCTTTGAGTCCACTTATATGATTAATGACATTTATTGACATTCATATATTGAACGAAGTCCATGCATCTCTGGGATAAAGCCTACTTGATCATGATGAATGATCTTTTTGATATACACCTGTATGCGGTTTGCAAGTATTTTGTTGAGAACTTTTGCATCTATGTTCATTAAAGATAGGGATCAATAGTTTTCTTTTTTGCTTGTGTCTTGGTTTGGATATTAGAGTGATGCTGGCTTCATAGAAGGAATTTGGGAATTCTCCCTCTGTTTCTATCTTTTTGAATAAATTAAGTAGTATTGGTTAGAGGTATTTAAATGTCTGGTAGAATTCTGCTGTAAATCCATCTGGGCCTGGGCTTTTTTTAGTTGGGAGGCTTCATATTACTGTTTTGTTTTCCTTATATGTTATGAGTCTGTTTAAACTGTTAATCTCTTCTTGGTTTAACTTTGGTGGTGCCCATGATTTTAGATATCCATCCATTTCTTTTAGGTATTCAAATTCAGTAGCATATAGGTTTTTAAAAATATTCCCTTATAATGATCTGGATCTTTTGGGTGTCTTGTTGTGAAGTTTTCCCTTTCACCTCTGATTTTGTTGATTTGGATTTGCTCTTTCTTTCTTTTGGTTAACTGGGCTAAGGGCCTGTCTATCTTGTTTAGCTTTTCAAAGAACCAGCTCTTAGATTCATTGATTCTTTGTATTTTTTCTTTGTTTCTATTTCATTAATTTCTGCCCTGACTTTTGATATTTCTTCTCTTCTGCTGGGTTTGGGTTTCATCTGTTCTTGCCTTTCCAGCATCTTGAGTTGTGTCAGGTTATTTATTTGCACTGTTTCTTTTTTTTTTTTTTTTTCACTTTTTGAAAAAGTTTAATTTTTTTCATTTTGTGTGTATGCGTGTATTGCCTGCATTTAAGTAAGTGCAACCATGTTGTGCAATGTACCTGGAGGTCAGAAAAGTCTGTAACGTAGGCACTTAGAGGTATAAACTTCTGTCTTAGGACTGCTTTTAAAGTGTCCCAGAGGTTGTGTTGTCCTTTTTGTTGAATTCCAGGAATTCTTTTGTTTCTTTCTTAATTTCTTCTTTGACCCACTCATTGTTTAGGAGTGTGTTGTTTAATTACCATGAGTTCCTGTAGTGACTAGGGCTTTGTCCAGTGTTGATTTTGAGCTTTATTGCATTGTAGTCTGATAGAATGCATGGAATTATTTCAATTTTTTTTTGTATTTGTTGAGGTTTGTCTTGTGGGCCTGTATGTGGTCAGTTTTTGAAAAAGTTCCATGGGGTGCTGAGTAGAAAGTGTATTCTTTGTTGCTTGGGTGGAATATTTGAAAGATGTCTGTTAGGTCCATTTGATGTATGGTATCATTTAATTCGGACGTCTCTCTGTTTATTCTTTGTGCAGTTGGCCTATCTGATGGAGACATTGGAGTATTGAAGTCCCCTACTGTTACTGAGTTGGTTAATCTGTGTCTTAAAGTCCTGTAGTATTGTTTTTATGAATTTGGGTGCACCAGAGTTTGGTGAATATATGTTCATGATTGTAATACCTTCTTGATTCATTGTTCCTTTGATCAAAATGAAGTGGCCCTCTTTGCCCCTTCTAATAAGTTTTAGTTTAAAGTCTATTTTGTCAGATATTAGAATTGCTACACCTGCTTTTTTCTTAGTGCCATTTGCCTGGTATATTTTGTTCCATCCTTTCACTTTGAGATAGTGTCTGTCCTTGAAAGTGAGACGAGTTTCTTGCAGACAACAAAAAGATGGGTTTTGTTTCTTAATCCATTCATATAGTCTGTGTCTTTTGACTGGGGAGTTCAGTCTGATCAAGGTTATTATTGAAAGATGTGTATTGGTTGCCATCATTTTGATTGCCTTTGTGTTCTCTGTCTAATTTTGTGTTTCCTCAGTTATACCTTTATTTATTTTCTTTCATTGCCCCTGGGGCATAGTTGTTTCTCTCTCTGCTCCCTGTATTGCTTCAAGTATTCTTTGAAGGGCTGGTTTTGTGGACATGTATTCTTTCAGGCTATTGGTGTCATGGAAGATTTTTCTTTCCCCTTCAAGTATTATAGACATTTTTGCTGAGAAGTATTCTGGGCTGGCATCTATTGTCATGTAGAACTGGACATACCTTGGTCCAGGCTCTTCTGGCTTTCATAGTTTGCATTGATAAGTCAGCTGTAATTCTGATGGGCTTTCCTTTGTATGTGACTTGTTCTTCTTTTACTGCTTTCAGTGTTCTCTCTTTGTTCTGTGCGTTTAGTGTTTATACTGTGATATGTCATGGGGAGTTTCTTTTCTGATCCTCTCTATTTGGTGTTCTATGTGCTTCCTCTATTTGTATGGGGATGTCTTTCCTTAATTTTGGGAAATTCTCTTCTATAGTCCTTTTTAAGATCTGGTCAATACCATTAACCTGAAATTCTTCTCCTTCCTCTATTCCTATGATCTGTAGATTTGGTCTTTTCTTGGTGTCCCACATCGCTTGCATATTCCATTCCTGTGTTTTTTAAAATTTTCCATATTCTTTGCTTGAGTGGTCCAATTATTCACCTTTTTCCTCCAGTGTTGATATTGTTTTCCTTTCATTCATTCTAGCAGTGAGGTTTCCCCTGTTGTTTCAAGTTGGCTGATTGAGTTTTGCACTTCCTTCTTCATTTCTGCCTGAGTTTTCTTCAATGTTTCTCTTTTGTGATTTCATTCAGAAGTTTATCCTTATCTTTTTTTAGTTCTTTCATTTGTTTGTTCGTGTGTTCTTTAAATTCATTGAATTCCTTCATCATGTTTATGATTGTTCTTTTAAATTCTGTGTCCTGGGTTATCTCTAGGGGGTTCTCCTTGTAGAACTCTTCTACAGGACTGGTGGATTTTGGTGGGACATAGTGCTTTGGCTTTCCATTTTATTATTCTTTCAGTTTATGATTCTAATATGAGAATTAAGTTGAAGTATGCTTCTGTTTGTATTATCGGGGTGCCTTGGTCCTTTCCTTACTGGTTATGTAGATCTGGTTGGTACAGGTTTTGGATTCTCTCAGGTTTAATTTTGGAGGTAACTGATGGCTTCAGATGAACTACTCAGGAGCACCCACAGAAGCGCAAGTTAGGTTCCAGTCAGGTACACTCAGGCTTCTTCTAAGGTTTGGACCTCTATTAGCAGGAACTCAGAACAAAATTTGGGGAGTACCCTAATGGGGGGGGGCACGATTTTGGGACTCTCAGTTGTTCTCCTAAACTGATGAGGGTTATCAGTCCCTGTGCCATAGGAAGACTAGAACTGGGCACTCTCTGGCGGTCTGCTGAGATCAATAGCTACAGCACCAATGGAGGTCGGAACCTACCCTTTCAGGCTGTCTCCTGGGATCTCAGCCTTAGTCTACCAAAGCCAGTTCTGCCCTCAGAGCTTATCTTATTAAAGGGAGAATATATTGCTTAATTTTGTTGTTCTTTGTGTGTGTGTGTGTGTGTGTGTGTGTGTGTGTGTGTGTTTTTGTGTGTGTGTGTGTGTGTGTGTGTGTACATGTATGGAGGCCAGGGGTTAGCAATATATGTCGTTCCTTGGGATTGCTTTACTTTATTATTGGGGAAGATTTTCTCACTGAACCTGGAGCTCTCCAAGCAGACTAGGCTGTCTGGCCAGTGATCCCCAGGATCCTCCTGTCTCCTGCCCAAGGATTATAGTCATGTACCACTAGGTCTTGCTCTTGACATCTGAACTGGAATCTTATTGCTCATAAGGCAGCCCTGTTATTTTTCTTCTCTTTTTTGGGGTGGTGGTATGTGGTGTGTGTGTGTGTGCGTGCGTGCGTGCGTGCGTGCGTGCGTGCGTGCGTACGTGCGTGCGTGTGTGTGTGTGTGTGTATGTGTCTTTGAGACAGGGTTTCCCCATAGCCCTAGCTGGCCTGGAACTTACTATCTAGACCAGGCTGGCCTTGAACTCACAGAGATCCGCCTGCCTCTTCCTCCCAAGTGCCAGGACTAAAGGTGTGCACCACCACGCCCGGTTATTTTTCTATAAAGCATCTGCCATTCCTGGTCTGCAGGGACACTCATGATCCTCAAGTCGGCCTGCAGCAACAACCCAAGCTACATTGATAGGCTGATCTCGGTCTTCATGCGCTCCCTGCAGAAGATGGTTCGAGAACATTTAAATCCACAGGCAGCGTCGGGGAGTACAGAAGCAACCGCAGGTGACAGCCGGGGCCCCATGTTCTCCGTGAACTCTCAAACACCTGAGCAGGGCAGGGTGTTTGGTTGAACTCTGATGTTAGTTAACATAGGTTAATGCGAAGCCCTGTTATTGACAGGAAATTGATTGCAACTCCTGAAACAGAGGTTTAAAATTCAAACTAAATTAAAATGTAATTTAAAATAAATGCTAAATTCAAAACCTATTTTATTATTAGTGAGAATTAGAATGCAAAATAATTGAAAGTGGGTAGACTCTGGTGTGAAACCTTCTCCACTTCTGCTGAATGAGTTATCAGAATGCTGTCAGACTACTTAATCAGAGCTGCTGATTCTGAGTTAAATCACAGGCTCCAGACCCAAATCATGACTCCTGCCCTCTAGATGATAGGTGGGACTGGACATTTGGTAGGGTGATGAGCAAGCACAGCTGCTTGATACCCCTCAGGACCCAAATGCCTAGTGAAAGTTAGTGGCTTCAAGATGGGATGTGGAAAGGCTGGGGTGGCCCTCACAGGTCCCATTGGGTCCATCACTCCCATTCTTCATGCCCAGGACTGCTGGTGGCCACTTTGGAAGGAGAAACTATATAGAAGGTGATATCACTTCAAATCCCCGAGTTCTAGTTCCTGGGGTAAAGATTCATGGTGGACACATGGCAGTACTGCAGGGTGGTAGCCCTTTTAAGTATAACTGTAGGGATTGATGGGATGTGTGTCTACATAGCTGGAACAAGTGAGCTGGTGATGCTGAGCCTGGAGTTGGTGAAGACACGACTGGCCGTTATGAGTATGGAGATGCGCAAGAACTTCATCCAGGCCATCCTGACCTCCCTCATCGAGAAGTCCCCAGATGCCAAGATTTTGCGGGCTGTGGTGAAGATTGTGGAGGAATGGGTGAAGAATAACTCCCCAATGGCAGCCAATCAGGTAAGCTGGCAGGAGGGCACTGCTCTCCCACTTGACCAGCTTTGGCATGCAAGGGAATTCAGGCAGCACTCTCTTGTTCTTCCTTCTGAAACTTGTAGAAGCAAAATGTTTTCTAGATTCGACCTTCTGTAGCTTCGCTTGATTAGAAGGCATTCACACCATGCACCAAACAAGTGTTAGAGTAGCCAGTACGCATCTTAACTGTGGTTTTTGTGTGTCTGAAAATGCTACGTGAGTCTTACTTGTGTACCCGCTAATGGTGGTGGCAGTAAACCAGAAAATACTGCTGCCCACAGGGGGCTGCCATGTAGGCTAGAGAGATGCTTGGAACTTCTGAGTTGTCATCCTTTAGTCTTGCTCTCTCCAAAGAAAGTCAGAGTCCCCTTGAAGGCTCTGTTGGCATGTCTTAACTTTTGACACCCAAAGATGATCAGTCATCTTTGTGGGTTTTTTTTTTTTTCCTTCTGTTTTCAAATGAGCTGGATTTATTGTAATGATTAATAATTTCATTGATAAAATCATAGGAACTTGAAAAGGTGTTGAGCAGGTGGTAGAAGTACTTTTCAAGTAGAAAGAATTGACAATTTCTTTTGGAAACCACTTCTGTGTAGACACCCACCCTCCGGGAGAAGTCAGTCTTGCTTGTGAAAATGATGAGCTACGTGGAGAAACGCTTCCCAGAAGACCTAGAACTCAACGCCCAGTTTCTAGACCTTGTCAACTATGTCTACAGGTAATGAAGCATTTGATCACGGGTCACGTGTGACATCTGAGCTGTGCTTTCCTCTCCCCTGCAGCATCATGACTGATCTTTCACTTCATATCAATTTAATGCTCCCTTTGATACTAGGTGACCTATCTTGAATCATGACTAAGACTTTTGCTGAAATGCTGCTTAAGCATTATGGGAGTGGAAAGCCTATTATTAGAGTGCAGCTTAGTTTGGGAAACTGGTGTCCATCTTGTTCCTCTCATGAGCCAGCTGGTCGCCAGGCTCTTATGTCTCCTGTTTCTTCTCTGATTATAGGGATGAGGCACTTTCTGGCAGCGAGCTGACGGCGAAGCTTGAGCCCGCTTTTCTCTCGGGGCTACGTTGTGCCCAGCCACTCATCAGGGCCAAGTTTTTCGAGGTTTTTGACAACTCTATGAAACGCCGTGTCTATGAACGCCTGCTGTATGTCACCTGTTCTCAGAATTGGGAAGCCATGGGGAACCATTTCTGGATCAAGCAGTGCATTGAGGTAGGGCAGGCTGGGGGCTTTCTGAGGGTGGGCACAGAACATAGTTCATATTTTCACAACTCAAGATGATTTGGAAATCTCTACCATAAACTTGCTCTTATCCCTAGTACAGGGACAAACAAAAAGATTTCAGGCCCAACATTCATCTAAAGGTGTTTGTTTCTTTGTTTTCCCCTGATTAAAACTCTTCATCAAAAAGTTGAATAAGGGCTTGTGAGTTGGCTCAATGAATACAGGTGTCTACTGCCAAGCTGAAAATCCGAGTTCAGTCTTGAGACCTCCTGGTGGGAAGGGAGAACCAATTTCTATAAGTTGTCCTTACACACACACACACTTCAAAATAGATAAATAAAAATGTAATTAAAAAAGTTTTTCCAGGCTTGGTGGCATATACCTTTAATCTCAGCACTCTGGAGGCAAAGGCAAGTGGGTCTCCGTGAATTCAAGGCCAGCCAGGGCTACATAGTTGAGACCCTGTCCCAAAAACTGAACAACAAGTGATATACTTCCTCCAGGAAGATTTCAACTCCTAAAGATTCCATAACTTCTGTCAAGTTACTAGTACTGAGGAATACCTACCTACTTAGCCAGAATTAACGAAACAATTGCAGTAGGCCGTCTTAAATTCTCTCTAATGCAGGAAAGTAAAGTATAGTCTTGGGCCTCAGTGATACCTGGTCCCCAGGGTTCCCATTTATATAGAATGACTATTCCCTCAGTGCCTTATGCAGCAGGGATTTGGAACTGGGCTGATGGCCACACAGTGTGCAAAGTTCCCTTCTTTCCCTGTCTGAGCAGAGTCCCCCTCGGTGAGAGAGTGGGAGCTACTGCATGTGGAAGAGCCTTGGAGAAGTCTGAGAACAGAGGGGCCCTCGTAGGCAGGCAAGCACTGTCACATCACAGATTTTCATTTGGCCCCTGAGAAGCTTGGCCTGTCCCCCTGAAGCTGTGGGAAGTGTTTGAGGGGCTTAGGGAAGGGTTTGAGGAGTTCAATGAGACTGTTGCAATGAGTAGGTATTGCTCAGGTACACACACACACACACACACACACACACACACACACCCCTCCCTGCAGTGCTGGGTGTCTGTTTTAAACTGAACTTCTTTCCCATGATCCTCTCCAGCTGCTCCTGGCTGTGTGTGAGAAGGGCACAGCCATTGGTACCAGCTGCCAGGGGGCCATGCTCCCATCCATCACCAACGTCATCAACCTGGCCGATAGCCATGACCGAGCTGCCTTTGCCATGGTCACACATGTCAAGCAGGAGCCTCGGGAACGAGAGAACAGTGAATCCAAAGAAGAGGTAGGCTCCATACCCAGGCAGAATCACCATACCACAAGTGCAACACAGCAGGCCCTCTGTCCACCCGAAAGCTCTGGTGTGGTGCCCAGGTTCAGATTTTCTTATTGAAATTGAGAAGCATGTTAGTTGCATTCCATTTGGTGATAGATGACTCTCCTGAGCCAGTACCTTTGGAATGGGATTGTAGAAAGCACTGGCCAGCTGTTCCTGTGCAGTGACCCCACCAGCATCGCAGCCCCACCACATCTGTTTAGTTTTGGCTAAAGTTTTTCTATTTATTTTGCTTCCTATAATCCAAATATGGAAGCAAATGGTGATGCAAGGGAGGGCCATGGCGGGCAGAATATGAGCAAAGTGTGGTGTTGTGTGTATGAAAATGTAATGAAACACATTCTGTACCCTAACTAGCACTATTTAAAATATAGGAATCATTTACCTAAAGTGCTTAGAGCCAGATACATTTCAGATTTGGGGAGTTTATGGATTTTGAAGTATTTGCATAGACTTTACCACAGTTGTGCATCCTTGACCCCAAATTCTGAAATCTGAAATGATCCAAAATCTCAAACTTTTGAGCATCATGTTTGTGCTTAGAAGTTTTGATTTTTTTTTTTTTTTTTTTTTTTTTTTTGGTGTGTTTTAGAGTTGGGGTTTTCAGATCAGTTCTAGGAAAAGATTCCAAGAAACTTAGAAAAAGTACATTTATCAAAAACATAGGGACTGGAGAGATGGCTCAATGGTTTAGAATGTGTACTGTTAACTGCTCCTATATAAGCCCAAGTTTGGTTCCTAGCACCTGCATCAGGTAGCTCATGACCGCCTGTAACGCCAGCTGTAGGATCCAAAGACCTCTTCTGGCCTCTGTGGACACTTGCACTCACATTCACGTACCCTCACACAGACACCACACATGCATACACATAATTAAAAATAAGTAAAATCTTGGAAAAAAAAATATGCACAGCCAGCAGCATAGAGGCGTTGTGTTGGTTGTTTTGAGAGTTCTGACCATCTGGGTTTCCTTGTTTAGGATGTAGAGATAGATATTGAGCTGGCTCCTGGAGATCAGACAAGCACTCCCAGGACCAAAGAACTGTCTGAGAAGGACATCGGGAACCAACTGCATATGCTCACCAACAGACATGACAAGTTCCTTGACACCCTCCGGGAGGTGAAGGTCCGTATGCAATTTGAATTATTTTTAGTCCAAACTAAAAATGTTATTCCTCGGTACATAAATTTTTCTGTTTCTAGCTGCCCTCCATTCTCCTTCCTACCTCAGTTGAAACCATTGTAGATCTGGGAGAGTCTGAGTAGGATATTTAGCAGAATTGAGGCAGCGGGTTACAGGGTCTTAAGGGGGAAACAGAGAGAAGGTGGCTTCTTTGTTACCATCCCTTTGAAGAAATGGTAAAACTGACTGGTAGAAGCCTGTGATGAGCTGTGACGCTGGGCTGTTGAAGTGCAGGAAACAAGAAGTTAGGGAGTTAACGTGGCAGCGGCCCTCCACATGCACCTGCTGTTTGAGATGGTCCCAGGTTGAAGCTCTGGCTTCCACACACCGTCTCAGTAGTCGTGAGGGCGGGCGTTTTTTTGCATTTTGATTCTATTCTGCTGTGTACCGTGTCATCTGAGGGAAGTCACACAGAAATGATGATGGTGCTGGGGAAGAAAAAGCAAGAGTTATCACCAGCAATTTTTACATAAAATTTCCTTGGTAACCAATCTGAACTTTTGCATTGAATCAGCCTTTGAATTAGTATCTGAGTGAGGCCATCCCTGTCTCAGGTAAGCAGAGAGTGCTTAGCTGGACCAGGAAGGAGCGCATCCTTAGAGATGAGAGTGATGTGACCTCATCAGTGTAGACTAGGACGTTAATAGACCTCTGTGCCTGCTTCATCACTACCTGAAAGCAGGGCTGTGGTCTGTGTCCCCACCCTGAGGAACTTCTGTGGGCAATGCTGACTCAGCGGTGGCCTTGGTGTCTGCATCACACCCGGTACCTCTTGTGTAGGGATGCAGGAGGCACATCACAGCCCTCTAAACTCATCCTCTTCTGTTCACAGACTGGGGCACTGCTCAGTGCCTTTGTTCAGCTGTGCCATATTTCCACCACACTGGCAGAGAAGACCTGGGTCCAGCTTTTTCCAAGACTGTGGAAAATCCTCTCTGACAGACAACAGCATGTGAGTAGCTTTAAATCCAATTTGGAAAAATGTAGTATCCACTTTTGATAAATAATCATGATAGAACAAAGTCCTAAATTTTAGCACATTACAACTACCCACTATTACCAAGGAAGAATTACCACAATATTCCTAGATGATGTGAGAGAGGGAAAGGCCAGGTTTTTCTGAAACTTTTTTCAAAATTTTTATTTTATGTGTATGAGTGTTTTGTCTGTCTGTATGTAAGTGTGCTATATGTGTGCAGTGCCCACAGAGGATGGAAGAGGGCAATGAATCTTCTGGAATTGGAGTTGTGGACAGTTGTTAGCTTCCATGTGGGTTCTGGGAACCAAACCCTGGTCCTCTGTAAGAGGAGCCAGGGCTCTTAATCACTGAGCCTTCTCTCCAGCCCTGAAGCCAACTTTTGTATCTGTATTTGAGACAGAGTCTTGATACATATCCTGCTTGGCCTCAACTTGTTGTGTAGCCCAGTCTGGCCTTGAACTTGCCATTCTCGTGCCTCAGCCTCTCTGGAGTGTTGGGATTGCAGGTGTTCTCCACCATACCTGGCCCCAGGTTGCCAGTTTTTGAATGAAGACCTGAACTGACTGACTGTTTGGTCCTAGGCTCTGGCAGGTGAGATCAGCCCGTTTCTGTGTAGTGGCAGTCATCAGGTACAGCGAGACTGCCAGCCCAGCGCGTTGAACTGCTTCGTGGAAGCCATGTCCCAGTGTGTCCCCCCAATCCCCATCAGACCCTGTGTGCTGAAGTACCTGGGGAAGACCCACAACCTCTGGTTCCGCTCCACCTTGATGCTGGAGCACCAGGCCTTTGAGAAGGGGCTGAGTCTACAGATCAAGCCGAAGCAGACAACCGAGTTCTATGAGCAGGAGAGCATCACACCCCCACAGCAGGTGACTCACCTCATGCTCTTAACTTTCTATAGGACATCTCCCAGTGGCTTTAGATCAAAACACAGGGAAGGTACTTTATTGATTAAAAATATGTGTTTGTCTCAAGATTCAAAAACAGTGATCTGTTGCAGGAGATCCTGGATTCCCTCGCTGAACTGTACTCCCTGTTACAAGAAGAAGACATGTGGGCCGGGCTTTGGCAGAAAAGATGCAAGTACTCAGAGACGGCAACTGCGATTGCTTACGAGCAGCACGGCTTCTTTGAGCAGGTACCTCGGGGTGGTGGCTGGTCAGTTTCATTTCTGGGGCTTCCTTTAATGTCACACCCTTAAGTTCTTACACATTCACTTCCGAGGAGATTGCTGTTTCATTTGAGCCTTTTTGTTGTTTGTTGTGATAATGGCAAGGGAATCCAAGCCTCTGTGGATTGGGCAAGCATTCTTTCACTGAGCTGTAGCTATGGTCATAGTGTTACTGAAGCATTTAAATTCTTCACACAAAGACCTTGTGAAGTCTTGACATAGAGAAGCCTTGGTACATACCATGCAAAGCTTCTAGTATTTTTCTTGGGGTGAAGTACACATACCATGGAGAGTGTGTGGTCAGGCTACAGGTTTGTGGAATAGGTTCTCTCCAGTTTTACCTGGATTCCAGGGATTGAACTCAGGTCATCATGCTTGGCAGCAAGTTCTTTTAATTAAGGAGCCATCTCACTAGCCCTGACGTCTAGTTTTTATTGTGTGTGTGTGTTTTTTTTTTTTCTTTTGAGACCCTGTCTCAAAAGAGACCTGGAATTTGCTATGCCATGATACCTGGCTGCCATGCACTTTTTAAAAGCACGTCCCTCAGGCTGGAGAGATGGCTCAGCAGCTACTTACAGAGCACTCAAGTTTAGTTTCCAGCTCCAATATGGCAGCCAACAACCATCTATAACTCCAATTCCAGGGGATCTGATGTCCTCTTCTGGCCTCTGTGAGCATTGCACAACGTAGTGCACTTAAAAACATGCAGGTAGTACACTCATACACATAAAGAGAAATAAGTAAAAAAAAATTAAAAAGTACAGACCCAGTCTTTTAGCATCAGAAGATACTGAGTTTGGTCTTTATCTGTCGTTGTTGGCCCCATTGGAAATAGTGGGAAGATCACATCCACCTCTTGGATGTCAGTCCCCAGGTTTGTCCTGCCTGTGTGACGCAGGCAGCCATTACATGGTGTGATGCTCTGTCGAATGCTGGGGCACAGAACTGAGTACAGTGCCATGACCTTATTCTCGATGGTGAAAAGACAGAAAAGTTAATCCCAAGTCTAGCTAGTCTTCCTTCCTGCCATGTGTTCAGGGACCGTGCCCTCCCCTTCCCCTCTGTGCGTTGTCTCTCAACTGGTGAGTTCTGAGCATCCAGTGGCCTGGGACAAAAGCTGGAGGTGCTCCTTGGTTCCAACCATCTCGCCCTGAAAGCTGAGCTTGATGCATTGTTACCTTTTTAGGCCCAGGAATCCTACGAAAAGGCAATGGACAAAGCCAAAAAGGAGCATGAGCGCAGTAATGCCTCCCCCGCCATCTTCCCCGAGTACCAGCTGTGGGAGGACCATTGGATCCGGTAAGCCAAGCCAGAGTTCGATGGACTTGGGATCAGTTTAGAGTTTTAATATTTTGTTTTTAAAGTATGTGAATTTATTTTGAAGAGGATGTTGGATCCCCTGGAATCGAAGTTAAAGTTGTTAGCCGTCCAATGTGGGTGCTGGGAACCAAACCCCAGTTCTCTGTTAGAGAATGTGGGTACATGCATGTTAGAGACCTATGCGAAGATCAGGACTATTGGTTCTTTTCCTTCCGCTGTGTGAGTCCAGAGGATTGAATTAGGTCATCAGGCTTAGTGGTAACTGCCTTTATCCAGTGAGTCATCTTGCTTGCCCATCAAATATCAGTTTTAAAAATCAGTCACTACACAATACAACCCAAAGATGGACTAATTTGAGCTGGATGTGGCGGTGCACACTTTTAATCCCAAGCAGAAGTAGAAGAATCTCTGTGAGATTGAGGCCAGCTTGGTCTATGTAGCAAGTCTCAGGCCAGCTGGGGCTACTAGGAGACTCTGTCTAAAAACAACAACAAAAAGATACACTGATCTGATATTTACACGATGAGGAGTGATGGCAAGAAAACATTGGATGCCTTTTCTGTTATTAAACCATTTTATTCCTGTTAGAGCAGAAGACTGTATGGACAGTAAAATACTGCTGCTCATAGCAGTCCTTTGTGAGGCCTCAGTCATGGCTGTGGTGGTGTGGGCAGCGTGAGGATGAATGTGCTGAGAGCTAGGATCCAAGACCACAGTGGAGTTGGGTGCAACACGGGCACACACCATCAGAAAAGCACCTTGGGTTCATTGTACATTTGATTTAAAACTAATATTTGCTTATTGCCCACTGAGAAGTCTTTTACTGTTGCTAAAGTGCTGGTGTCCTTCAAATTCAGTCATGTGATCCATATGGACCTATGGTTTAATCAAGGAAGTTTCTGTGAATTCCTCCTAATAAGTGAATTTCAAAGGTGCCAGTTGCTAGTTTATGACCAGAAAAATCTTAGAAATATTGTCTTTCTAAATTAAATACTCTGGTGGAAAAACACTATGTGATTTGTGCCTCCCCCCCGGCTCTGGGGCCTGGCTCTGTTGGCTGCGTGGTGGGTGGTTCTGGTGTCCAGGCAGGCTGCTCTGTAGTGGAACCCATGTGGCATCCAGCAGCAGTCTGCATTCCATGTCCTTTTCTATGGTGGCAGTGTGCCTCTCAGAATCCTTCCCAAGTCTTATCAGTGTGCTCACATTGAGCTGCTCTTGACCCCCCACCTCCTAGGTGCTCCAAGGAGCTAAACCAGTGGGAAGCCTTGACTGAGTTTGGCCAGTCCAAAGGGCACATAAACCCTTACCTCGTCCTGGAGTGTGCGTGGCGAGTGTCTAACTGGACTGCTATGAAGGAGGCGCTGGTACAGGTAAGACTCCCTAGCCTGTGATGTTAGCAAGGCCTGGGTTGCCTGGCCTTCTCTTCTCTCTGTGTTTCTGGACATTTCATTTGACAACACTGGGTGTTTGAATAACTGCAGGATCGCTCTTAAGAAAGAAACATTCCTTGTTATTTCTAAAACCTTGCCTGCATTTGAGTGGAATGAGTTAGTCCATCATTCAGTTATTTATTTCTTTTATTTATGTGTTTGTGTGTGTCTGTTAGTGTATGCCCCATAAATGCAGCCACCCATAGAGGCCAGAAGAGGGTGTTGGATCCCCTGAAATTGAAGTTAAAGTTGTTAGCCATCCAGTGTGGTTGCTGGGAACCAAACCCCAGTTCTCTGTTAGAGTAGCAGGTGCTCTTCACCCCCAAGCCACCTCTCCTGCCCCATCTTTCAGTCAAAATAGAAAATGAGTGTTAGGGATAGAGACCTTAACCTCAGAAAAAAGTAACAATGTGAAGACATTTGGAAGAATGAGTTCAATTGGGTGGATTTTGTTGGAAGAAATGTCAGAACTAACACAAAAGAGTAGAAGCCAGAGCAGCCCAGATCCGTGTGTTTGCTGTTGTCTGAAAGTTTATCAGATGGAGCTTGCACACTCTGCTAGGCATGGGACGTCATAGGTTTGTACTGCAAGTGAGGGCAGTCATTAACTTCATTGAGTTTGGCGAGTTTTCTTTGAAAATGACTTCATCCCGAGGAATCTGCTTTTGGAAGGATGCATACACGCGTGCAATCGTGGGGAGCTTTTGTGGTGCTCTCCTGAGGCCAGAGAGATTGACTGCTTGCAGGAATTCAGGACAGGAGAGAAGCCTAAGCGCCTGATGCCTGTTTACTGCTTTGTGTGATTGGACGCAGGGAAGAGAAGGAAGTTTTCCTTTCTGACCTTGGTGATGAGAGAAGGGTATTCATCAGCCCCTCTGCCATCTCCCTTACAGGTGGAAGTCAGCTGTCCAAAGGAGATGGCCTGGAAGGTCAACATGTACCGTGGCTACTTGGCCATCTGCCACCCCGAGGAGCAGCAGCTCAGCTTCATTGAGCGCCTGGTGGAGATGGCCAGTAGCCTAGCCATCCGAGAGTGGCGGCGGCTGCCCCATGTCGTGTCGCACGTGCACACGCCCCTTCTGCAGGTGGGTACAACCAGCTCTCCTGAGCTCAGCCTGGGGGCCCAAGAAACTCTTTTCCATCTTGCCCTTTCCCACATGACTGTCCTCAGTGAAAGGATGTCCAGACCAAAAACCTTAGGGGAAAAACACTGTTGCCCTCTCAGCTTGGTTCTAGTGTCTGAGACATTGTTCCAGTGAGTTTGATTTTTACCATAGGGCTTCTTTGGTGCCTACCAGTGTTGATACCACTGTTCAGTCCAGACTGGGCCCAGCCTTGGAAATCTGATACAGCCCATGCCCTGATGTCTTTCTTTGCACAGTCCCCACTGTTTCTGACAATTAGTTCTAAGCACCATTCAGGGAATACTCTGGACTCAGCCCTACCCTCCCCATTCCTCCCCATAGATCACCTCTTCCCTGGCCCAGCCTCTGTACACTGTGAGTCTTTGGGCTGTACCCGCCTTTGTCTCCATTCTGTCTCTGGTGCCTGGCATGGAGCAGCTGCCACCCTGACTATACCAGTGACCCTGTAGGCTGATGTAACAGCAGCCGTTCCATAAGATCATGCTGTTGTTTTTCTTCAAAGAGAAGAACTCAGTGTGTTGAATTTTATCATGATGTGTATATTATTCTGTTTGCTGCTGCTGGTAACAATGGTGCAGAGAGGATAGGTTTCTGGAGGTTAAGGTCAGAGGACCACATCTTCTGATAGGCTTCTTGCTGAGGCATCAGAGTTAAGAGATGGAATGTAGGAAAAAGAGACAGAAATTGGGGGTGGGGTGAGAGAGAGCTACCAGTATTTAATCCTGGGTGGTCTCCCTGCTGATCACCCCATCTGATCCCAGGAACCCTTGCACACACTATCATTGGTGTAAGCTCCCCCTCTGTGAATCCCTCACAGAGGATGACATGGCAGCGAGTCCCTGGACCTCGGGTGCTGCTCAGGTCCTGGCACCGTAGCTGCTTCTCAGCCCGTTTATACTTTCCTGTCTTCTTCCAGTAAGCCACAACTGCTTTTGGCAATGGGCTTGTTTTGTTTTGATGGTTTTTGTCTATTTTCTATATTGCTTTTTCTGAAAGAATGCCCTGAAGTGACAGTTATTTTGCAAATGTGATATTTCTAAACCAAGGTAATTGAATTTTTTTCAAGCTTTTAATCAGGAGCAGATCTCTTGTACAGTGTTGAAGCAGATTGTTTGTTAGACTGTAGCATTTGTAGGGTTTTGTCACTTCCTTTTGTCTTTAAAAAATTTTTTCTCAATTTAAAAATTTTAGTGTATGAGGGTTTTGCCTGCATTTGTAGATTTGTCTGCACAAATTCAGCGGCATTTGAAGACAACATTGCTGCCTCCAAGCAATGTTGGTCTTGAAATCTTTTCAACTTTATTATTTTTAAAAAGATTTTTTTGAAAAATTTAAAATACTTTATCAATTTTTTATGTATGAGTGTGTTGCCTATATGTAAGTGCACTCATGTTGTGCAGTGCCCACAGAGGTCAGAAGAGGGCATCAGATTCCTTGGAACTGGAGTTAAGGACGGTTGTTAGCTGCCATGTGGGTGCTGGGAACCAAACCCCGGTCCCTCTGCAAGAGGAGCCAGTGCTCTTAACCACTGAGCCATCTCTCCAGCCCCAGATTTAAAAAATTTTGTTATGTGTGTATGTTATGTGTGTATGTGGAGGGTTGTGTGTATGTCAGAGGACAACTTTGGAGGACATGCTCTCTCCTTTTACCATGTGAATTCCAGGGTCTGAACTCAGGTCCTCAGACTTGCAGGCAGACACCATTGCTCACTGAGCCATCTCGCAGTCCCCATAAGCAATCTTAGAATAAACACAGGCTAGAAGACTTATGTTGGTTTTGGCAGTTTTGTCTTTTTAGTTTTTTATTACAGTTATTTATTTATGGGTGGGGCACTCACTTGTCAAAGCCTGGGTATGGAGGCAGGAGATACGGCTCAGGGGTTAGGAGCACTAGCTGTTCTTGCAGAGGACATGGGTTTGGTTCCCAATACAAACATGGTGGCTAATAATGGTCTGTAACTCCATTTCCCTGGGATCTAGTGCCTTCTTCTGACTTCTGTGGACATTGAATGACATGGGTGTACTTATATACATGTAGGAAATAACTCATACACAAAAAATAAAAATAACAAAATAGTTTTTTAAAAACCTGGATGTGTCTGGGCGTGGTAGTGCATGCCTTTAAGGAGGCAGAGGCAGGCGGATCCCTGTGAGTTCAAGGCCAGCCTGGTCTACATAGTGAGTTCCAGGCCTGCTGGGGCTACAGGGAGACCCTGTCTCAAAAAGACCAAAAAAAAAAAAAAAACCCAAAAACAAAAAAAACCCTGGGTGTGGATTCAGAGAACCACTTGGGGGAGTTGATTCTCTGTTTCCACTCTCTGGATCCCAAGGATCGAACCCCAGTCATCATACTTGGCAGCAAGCTCCTTTACCTGCTGAGCCAACTTGCTGGCCCTCACTATGACTCTCGTCTCTGGCCCCCTCAGGCTGCCCAGCAGATCATCGAGCTTCAAGAAGCTGCACAGATAAATGCGGGCTTACAGCCGACCAACCTGGGCAGGAACAACAGCTTGCACGACATGAAGACAGTGGTGAAGACCTGGAGGAACCGGCTGCCCATCGTGTCGGACGACTTGTCGCACTGGAGCAGCATCTTCATGTGGCGGCAGCACCATTACCAGGGTAAACCGACCTGGTCCGGCATGCATTCATCATGTAATTTCCAGACGCCCCGCTGTGCTGGTTTCATGTCTTTGTTTTTTTTTCTTTTCCCGGATTTTGTCTTTGGGGTGGGCCTGACAGGAAGCAGTGGGAATGGTGAGGGAGAGGTGAGCTGGGGAGACAAGGGGACGGTTTTGTCTTTTGGTGGTCCCTCCACCCCCTGCTGCTCGTTGACTGAGAATTGCTGTTAGACCCCAGGGCTTTACCAGGGGCCTTGAGCACAAATGGTGGTACTCCTGTCTCAAAGCCCCTGCCCAGGAACACCTGTTCCCAGATGGCTTTGAGGTCTTTGCTGTTTCCCTGCCCTCCAGCTCATCCACTAAACTGGCCAGGCATCTTTGTGATTTTGTGATGCTCTTTTTTCAGACAGGGTCTCACTGTGTAGCCCTGACTGACCTGGAACTCAGATCGGCTGGCCTATACCTTCCGAATGCTGGAATTAAAGGTGTGCCCACTATGCCCAGCCAATTTTGTGATCCTCTCAAGGAAGAGGGTCACACTCAACTCTGTTGTTTTTCTGTCTTTGTTTTAATTTTTTAATGCAGAAATTTTAAGCATGCCATGTACCCTTATCTGACCTCAAATTCACTATGTTGCTAATGATAACCTTGAACTTCTGCTCTTCCTGCCCCAGCCTCCCAAGTACTGGGATTACAGGCCTGTGCCACCTCACCCAATTTTTTGTGGTGCTTGGGATCAAACTCCAGGGCTTAATGCATGCTAGGCTAGCTCTCTACCAACTAAGCCCTAGCCCCAGTTCTAGTCTTGTGTCCTTTATAACTTAGTTATGGCATAAAATACCAGGGAAAGTATCGAGGGCGTATCACAGAGCTTCCTGTTTTCATAAGCCATGTTATGTGTGTTCTTCATTTTTTATTTACGCCTGATTGTGGAACACTTTGGGAAGCGTGTGACATGGCCTTGACAGTTCATTCCTTTGCTCTCTAGCTATTGTAACTGCATACGAAAATAGCTCACAGCATGATCCAAGTTCCAATAACGCTATGCTTGGGGTTCATGCCTCAGCTTCGGCCATCATCCAGTACGGAAAAATCGCCCGGAAACAAGGCCTAGTCAATGTAGCGCTGGACATACTGAGCCGTATTCACACCATCCCCACTGTGCCCATCGTGGATTGCTTCCAGAAGATTCGACAGCAAGTTAAATGCTACCTCCAGCTGGCAGGAGTAATGGGCAAGAACGAGTGCATGCAGGTAGGGCCCAATGGGACACCCTGCCCTCCCCCAGAATCAGTGCCCATGTCAGGGCTCCTGGGTCAGGCAGTGAGGAAGGAAGATTAGAATGTTCCAAATGTAACCTTCCAAAGCAAGAATGGAGGGCACACTCTAGTGTTTGAGTTGCACCTGTGGTTTCTGTTCCACCATATACTTAGCTAGGGAAAAAGCTACACAACTAGGCGGGTGCGAGGTAGGTCCAGACCTTGGTCATGTTTAGACCATGTGAAAATCAGTGCATCTGTGAGACAGTTGGAGAGAATGACCGCCTCTGTCCGGGGCCCAGCCTGGGTTCTAAGCTGCTTGGTTGAAGTACTGCTCACCAGCTGGCAGTTTGAACAGCACTGGCTAGTGACTTAAAGATTCTTTGCCTCAGTAAATACTTGAGGAACCTTTTTTTTGCTCCTCATTTCTGAACAGGGCCTTGAAGTCATTGAGTCTACAAACTTAAAGTACTTCACAAAAGAGATGACTGCTGAATTTTATGCCCTGAAGGGAATGTTCCTGGCTCAGATCAACAAGTATGTATGCTATGTTGTAAGGGTGGCAGGTTCCCTAGTGATTTCCTAGAACTGGGAGCCCATAGGTTCCTCAGGCCAGAAAGTAGTATGTTTTCATGATGGTTGTTCTGTGAGGCATTTTAGTTATGGTACCTTTATCAGTTACTTTTCTGTAGCTGTGATAAACACCATGAACAAAAGCAACTTAGACAAGGAAGAGTTTACTTTGGCCTATGGTTCCAGAGATGTGAGTCCGTTATGGCAGCAGACGTATAGACATTCAGGAACAGGAGGCTGAGAGCTCACATTACCATCAGGAAACAAAGCAGACTGGAAGTGTGATGAGGCTGTAAGCTCTCAAAGCCCACCCCCCAGTGACGTACTTCCTCCAGCAAGGCTGCATCTCCTAAAGTCTGCCCCCCGGCACCACCAACTGGGGACCAAGTGTTCAGATACTTAAGCCTGTGGGGGACATTTCTCATTCAGACCCCTGCAGTACTCTTGTGCATAGAGAGCAGCACACAGCAGAATGATGCTAGCAGTCTGAAGCCTATAGAGCTTCCTACAGAGCAAGGCTGCTATGACGTGGACTCCTTACCTATCCCCTCAGCCTGCTGTTTGCAGTAGAGTTGGCTGTGCTGTTTTGTGTGGGGTGCGGGGGGTGGGCGGGTTGTCTGTTGTTTGTTTTCTCTAGTCTTGCTGTGTTGCCCAGTCTGGTCTCAGACTCCTAGCCTCAGTTACACTGTTTCAGCCTCCTCGATAGCTGAGAACACCACCCCACCTGACTCGTAAGAGTGGTTTTTGTTTTAGAACAGGGGTCAGAGGTCAGTAATCTATGGAAGTGACGTGACGTTGCATTGACCCACCTGTGGCTTGCTGGACAAACCCTACTTTGGTCATGGCACATGATCCTTTGCCATGCTATTGGAACTGGCTGCTAGCTTTTGTTGGGTGGATATTTGCATTTATATTCATAAAGGAGACAGACCTTTAGTTTTCCTTGCTAATGTGGTGGGAAAATGATTTTGCTGTTGCAGAACAGTTTTGACAGTTGACAGTTCCACAAAAAAGTTACCACTAAATTGCCACATGTTCCTTGTTAAATATTAAATACTACCAAATATCCAGTTTGTTGTTTTTGAGATACCATTGGACAGTGTATCTGGGACTGGCCTGGAGCTCACTGTGTAGCCTAGGCTAGGCTCTAGGCTCGAACTAAAATTCCTCCTGCCTCAGCTGGGATGGCATGTGTGTGCCATGATGCCCAGGTTGAAATGTTCTCTTCAAAGCCGTGAGTTTCACTTCGTGGTCCTGTGTCTTGTGTCTCCTCACAGGTCCGAGGAGGCCAACAAAGCGTTTTCTGCGGCCGTGCAGATGCATGATGTGCTGGTGAAAGCCTGGGCCATGTGGGGTGACTACCTGGAGAACATCTTCGTGAAGGAGCGGCAGCTGCACCTGGGCGTGTCTGCCATCACCTGCTACCTACATGCGTGCCGCCATCAGAACGAGAGCAAGTCCAGGAAGTACTTGGCCAAGGTGAGAGAAGGAGTTAGCTTTGACACCAACAGGCTCTCAGGCTTAAGTGGAAATCGCTGACATTCATTAGTTCAGTGTCTGAGGCTGCTTCTAGAACTTCACCCAATTTCCATCCCTCTTCAGAGTGTCTTTCAGCTGTATTTTATTTAAAGAGTTGTAAAATTTTTTATTTTTGGTTTATGTGTATGGGTGTTTTGCCTGCATGAACTGAAGTACATTACGTGTACTTAATGTATTTATATATGTATGTAATGTACTTGAGTTCATCAAGGCAAAACATCCATACACATAATTTAAGTATGTATTTAACTACTTAGATTCATTCAGTGATCATAGAAGCCAGAAGAGGATGTTGGATCCCTGGAACTGGAATTATAGACTGTTGTGAGCTGCCATGTGGGTGCTGGGAACTGAACCTGGGTCCTCTGCAAGAGCAGCCAGTGCTCTTAACTGCTGAGCCATCTCTCCAGCCCCACAGTTGTATTTTAAAGCTCAGGAAATGGAGACCTGAATATCTGAGGGTCCCAGGTCTTGTGTGTGGCAAAGCCTGGCCTTCACTTCTTGTGCTCTCTGGGGATGGCACCTGGACCAGGCCTCGGAGATGGAAGAGGGAGGCGAAATCTGCACCGACCTCTGTGCTCTGCTTAGATGGTGGTGTCTATTGATGGCTGCTCATCTCTGTGCAATGCCCCCAGCATGGGCTAAATTAATGCTTGCAGCAGATGCAGGAAACACCTGTCCTGTCTATCCTGGAGGGTCTTTAGCATCCTGATTCAGCTTGAGCTTTGAAGTATGCCTTGGCAGACGTAGTCAAGCCAGCTGCAGACTCCATACCAGCCCTGGAGGCTCTACCCATATAGTGGGGAAGGCCTCAAGAATACCCCACATCAGCTGGCATGGTCTGCCTGGTGCAGGCTGATGATAATCAGATTGTGAAAAATCTGTTTGCTCTGGTTGAGGTCACACCTATGCACAAAGCAGGCCTACCATTGTCTCCTAGTCATTGCTGGTCAGCTCTGTCAGTTAGCACTTGTCCTTAAAGCTGGCAGTTTCTCTAAATGGAGAGAACAATCTAGGTTGAAAACCATAGTTGAAAACTATAGTTTTTAGGCGGAGGGAGAGATGGCTCAGCAGTTAAGAGAGCTTAGTGCTCTTGCAGAGGACCTGAGTTCAATTCTCAGCACCCACATTAGGCAGCTCAAACTGCCTATAACTCTAGCTGTAAGGGATCTGATGCCTCTGGCCTCCACAGACACCTGCACTCACAGGCACATACTTACACACAGACAGACATACACACCTGATTAAAAGTTACTTTTTAAAAAAAAAGTTTCTACTCAAGTGTAAGGTTTACATGTTAAGCTTAGCATTAATTCTCCCTTGTGGCCAGTAACAGTCTATTTCAGGTTGGGGGAGAAGCCATTGGATTGAAGCTCTCAGATTTACTGTTCAACTCTAGAACTTTCCCTCTGCCTTAGGTGCTGTGGCTCTTGAGTTTTGACGATGACAAAAACACACTGGCAGACGCTGTGGACAAGTACTGCATTGGCGTGCCGCCCATCCAGTGGCTGGCCTGGATCCCACAGCTGCTCACCTGCCTTGTGGGCTCTGAGGGCAAGCTGCTCCTCAACCTCATCAGCCAGGTGGGTCCATAGGTGTCTCTGTGGGAGGATGGCAACATTTTAGATACCACTGGGTATAAGGTGCAGGGAGGGTAGAATTGAAACATTTGACTAAGCACCACAGTGGTCATGCTCCTGGCTTGCATGTTTCCAAGGTGGGATGCAAGGAAGAAATGAAGGTTGCTGTTCTGCCCTGAGAATTAAGTCAGATGGGTTTCCAGGAGGAGTCCTGCGTCTGTGTTCCTGTCTTGTGCTAAGAGCCCTTCAGAGCTTCCCTTAAGACTCCCAGTAGCTAGGCACATGGTGCATGCCTAGACTAAGACAGGATGATGACCATGAGTTTGAGGTCACCCTGAGCTATATAGCCAGATCCCATCACAAACAACTCCCCCATCGCTATAAAAAAGACTTACATAATTATGCATGGCAGAGTTTGTGTGGTTCATCTGCCACTTCTAGGAGACCAGTGCTTGGGAAACAGGTATGGCCCTAGAGAGTCAGGCATGCCTGGGTCTCATATACAGTCCTTTTGTAATTGTACTTTGAAAATGGATCCAGAACTTCCTAGACTGTGAAGAAAGTGAGAAATGAAGTCTGTTTAGATGGATAGATAGATAGGCTTGGGATATGCAAAACCTATCTTTTGCAATCATAACTCCATGTGTTTTTATAAAACATAGGTGTAGGATGGATAGCTGGCAGCCATGTGCAGCGGACACGCATTTCAAAATGGGCAGTATTCACTTCGTCTGTCCTTATACTGGGGCATCGTCTTGTGATTCCTAGAAACTCTTTGTTTGAGAGGATGTGGCTGTGCTTGAGTCCTGTGCTTTTGCCTAGAGCTTGTCCATTAGGGTACAGCCCTCTGTCCCTCATGCAGCACCTCTGTATATAAGTGAGCCGGGCACCCTGTGGCCTTGGCAATTGGATAGAGCTGTCTTCCTCTGTTTGGAGAGATCTGAGTGACCTGGTAATGTCTCCTTGGTCACAGAGCTCTAGTGTGGTAGAGCTGGTGTCTGGCCTGGAGCTCACAGAGATCCGTCTGCATCTGCCTCCTGAGTGCCGGGATTACAGGCATGCACTACTAGCACACCCAGCCAACACACACCTCCAGCGGTTATGTTGAGCAGAAGGTACTCCTTCATGAGCATCATTTGGAATCACTTTATAATTTGTAATGAATTGTACCCAATATGGATAACTGGTTTTTAAGACTTCTGTTTGGCTACGATCTGGGGACACGTGTCTTTTACCTTCCTCGATGCACTGAATGGATTCAGAGTGTGGTTTCTCTGTGATGGCCTGTCCGCTGGTGGAACTGAGCCGTTAGTGTTGTTTTATAACTGGATGGGTTGTTTCACATGCCGCTCGCTCAGTGGCTTCATGTAGTAGGTCAGTGACTTGGTGTTGGCCTCTTTTAACCCAAACACAAACCAGAAACCGACTCGTGACTTATCCTCATTTATTCTCAGTACAAATTGTCTTCACCCAGAAAATGTACTGGGGAGCAGCACTGTTAACCCCTTGCTGTCTCTGAGCAGGTTGGGCGTGTGTATCCCCAAGCGGTCTACTTCCCCATCCGGACATTGTACCTGACATTGAAGATTGAACAGCGAGAACGCTATAAGAGCGGTAGGTCTCAGCTAGGGCCGGTCTCAGGGCTCAGTCCACGGGGTGTCCCAGGTCAGAACTGCTGCGTATACCCTTTACCCACAGCTCCCCTCCCACTGTAGTCAAGCCTCTGTCCAGTCAGGGTGGGAGGACAAGGCCTAGTCGCCGAGTGGTTCTACCCTGCCAAATCAGTGTTCGTGGGAGATAGCCATCCAGAGCAGAAGAAAATTGAGGAGGGTCTAGCTGGAGAACATGAGAAAGTTCATGTTCCTGCTCAGCAGTGAGGAAATGGCTGTAAGGGTGGGCAGTCAGGCTGTGCGCATGTGCCCTGTGGCAAAGGAATGACTCTGACTGTCAGTAATCTACAGTTCTGCTAACTGTCAAAGTTGACTGAGAACCTGACATTTAATCTACACTGAGTAGCCTGGCTTAATGGTGTCAGGTACCTCCTAAGCACAGTACTTTGTAAAGTATTAAAGGACTGGGCTTGATTCCCTTCCTTTGTGGCCCTCAGTATGTCAGGTGGATGCAGAGAGGGTGCACAGTGCACTGAACTCTGTGGCTTGGTCATTGAAAATTAAGTTGTTTTTTTTTTTCAGTTTCTAAACTAAATATAATGAGCTTAATTAAGCCAGAAGGCTAGACATGAAGAGGTCTGTAGCATATTTCTCTTAAACATAATAACTTCTTAAAAAATTGTCATTTTGCAAGTGGGGATTGACTTTCCTCCGTGAAATATGTGCACTTGTTTATCATCTGCTTTTAGATTCTTTGAACTTCAGTAGCAAGGAATATATTGGAAAATGGTTTTTGAATTCTTGTTTAAAGTTTTTTGAGATAGGGTTTCCCTGTAACCCTACCTGGCTGGAACCTACTATGTAGGCCAGGCTGGCCTCAATCTCATCGAGATCTGCCTGCCTCTGCCTCCTGAGTGTTGAGATTAAAAGTGTGTACCTCCATGCCCAGCTGATTTTCCACATATTTTATTTTTGAAACATTGAGACATGCAGTAGGGGAGCTTGGCACCTTGACAGTTGTCCATGAGTGGCAGGCTGTCCAAGCTGCCTTTGTGCCAGCCCTGAGTGGCACAGTTCTAGCCGGCACACACATTAGCTTTTCCCTGAACCACCTGAAGCCAGGGTCTAGCTGACTGAGCTCCCTGTCCCTTAGTTAGGTGGTCCAGCTGTCCTTAGAGCAGAATGTGTCCACCTGTCCCAGGGGAGGAAAGATCGTGGCAATTCCCACCCCAACACGATCCTGTATCCCTTTGGCCATTGGGTCCTGTAGAGCTCCAGGCTCAGCATCGATGGGTCTTGCGCTGACATTGGCATTGTGTGTGTTGCTCTCAGATTCTGGACAGCAGCAGCCCAGTTCAGTGGGTAACCAGTCCCATTCTGCATCAGATCCAGGGCCCATAAGAGCAACAGCGCCCATGTGGCGCTGCAGCCGAATCATGCACATGCAACGGGAGCTTCACCCCACCCTCCTGTCTTCCCTGGAAGGCATCGTTGATCAGATGGTCTGGTTCCGAGAGAACTGGCATGAGGAGGTAGGTGGGCCAGGCTCTGCAGCTCTGCCTCCCGTTGGAGAGAGCGGATCATTCACCTCTGCCACCAGGTGCTTGCTGTCGACATAGCCATGGACCAGGCTAACTTATTCTCCAACACTTGTATGGTTTCAGATATTAGAAGCAGAAGAATTTGAAAGAAAAGGATGAGGGATGAGGATATAGTGTATACACCATAGTGGTACAAACCTGTAGTCACTGCACTCAGGAGGGAGAGGCAGGAAGATCAGAGTTCAAGGTCATCCTCACTACTTAGCAAGTTCAGGCTCAGCTGGGAGTGAAAAAGAAAAGAGAATGAATTTCAAGGAACCGTTCCTTGCAGTAGTGTCACTGGTTGCTGGTGGCTGCTCTGTTTGTCTATGTCTGTCTATGGCCATGATGTTGGTGGCTTGTGGTCACACTTTCAGCCTTTTCAGCAGTGCAATCACCACCTTAATGCCAACCACTTCAGCTGCTGATGTAGTACCACATTTTTCCCACCCAGCAGCTTACCTTATTGGTCCCCAGGCCAACCCCTTCTTGCTGTGTAAGTTGTGTGTGTACCTACAGACACACACAGGTAACTTGGGTGCCTGGATGTTGAAGGTAGAAATAACCCAGGGAAGTGGATGGAGTATGACACACCATGGGCCACCTGCTTCTCTGACTGATTGGTCTTTACTCTTCCACCAGGTGCTCAGGCAACTCCAACAGGGGCTGGCCAAATGCTATTCTGTTGCCTTTGAGAAGAGCGGAGCTGTGTCTGATGCCAAGATCACCCCCCACACTCTTAATTTTGTCAAGAAGTTGGTGAGCACATTTGGAGTGGGCCTGGAGAACGTGTCCAATGTCTCCACTATGTTCTCCAGTGCAGCCTCTGAGTCTCTGGCACGCCGGGCACAAGCCACAGCCCAGGACCCTGTCTTCCAAAAGCTAAAAGGCCAATTTACCACAGGTGAGTCTTGCTCTGTGCATGCTGGTGAGACGTTTTTAAGATGTAGACCTAAGCCAAGTATGATGGTACACGCCTTTAATCCCAACAGAGACAGGCAGATCTGTGAGATTGAGACCAGGCTGGGCTATGTAGTAAATTCTAGCCAGGACTATAGGGTGAGACCCTGTCCCTAAAACAAAAACTAAAAATGCATCCTGACACAAGGACAGTTGGCAGTCTGGAGTTTTATGTCTCCACTGAAAGGTTAAAGTTGGGACTTCTGCACTAGGGGTTAGAAAATGGAAGGTTTTCAGGCCAAACCCTCTTGCCTTCCTTGGCTTGGTGTTGGGGCAAACTGTAATGTAAGGTGGTAGATTCTAATGCAGGACTAGAAGTGATGGGAAAGTGCAGATTTGTGAGCTGGAGGCAGGATGATGGGGAGACTGGGTTGCATTGCTGATTCTTTGTTCAGATGAAGGCCTTTTCCTGGGCCCAGGAGTTCGAATCCTGCCTCCACCTCTTCCTGCCTGATCTAAGAGAACGTTACCACTCCCAGGTTTGTTTAGGGATCCTTATCCCAAGCAGGTCCCCTTAGCCATCTGAGTAACCTCACAAGATTTGCCTCAGGCTCTCAGAGATAAACAGTTCTACTTTGTTACTGTTTTCATAATGGTGTCTAGAACATTCTTTATTCACTATGCATTCGCCATAGAGGATATGGTTTGCATTTTTAGAATTTTTTTATTTTAATTTTGGATTATGTGTATATGTGTGTGTAGGTCTTGTGTGGGTTTGTGCACATATGTGCAGATGCCCATGGAGGCCAAAAGAGAGGGTGTCAGATCCCCCAGAGCTGGAATTAGAGGTGGTTGTAAGCTACCTGATGTGAGTGCCGGGAACCAACATAGGCTCCTGTGCAAGAGCAGTATGTGCTCTTAACCGCTGAGCCCTCTCTCCAGCCCCTAGAATGTTTTTTAAGCATCTTCTTTTGGAGCACTGGGGAGGGAACCCAAGGACTTGCATAGGCCAGCAGAGCACTCTTATCACTGAGCCACACCCCAGCTCCAGAAAGTGAAGTAACTTCTAAAGCCTTCTCATACCTCAAGGAATACAGTTAAGAATCTGGAGTGGTGGTACATGTCTTGCCTTTAATCCTAGCATTCTTTTTTGAGACAGGGTTTCTGTGTAGCCCCTGCTGGCCTGGAACTCACTATGTAGACCAGGCTGGGCTGGATCTCACAGAGATCCTCCTCCTTCTGCTTCTGGAGTGCTGGGATTAAAAGTGTGTGCCACCACATCCAGCTTTAATCCCAGGAGAAGCAGATGGATCTCTCAGCCTGTTTTACATAGCAAGTTCCAAGCTAGAAGATGCTGTTCCTCCAAAATACATTTAAACAAGCGTCTAATGTAGAGTAGGTATCCTGTTCATTATAAAAGGCTCTTCCAAGTTACAGCCATGGCTTACTGGGAAGCCACCTGCCTTGCAGAGCGTGGCTCTGTCATTGTGCAGGTGGTCTAGGAACTTTGGACTTCCTTTGGTGAAGTGTAAGGTGGGTGTTAAGGGTTGTTTGACCTGCCTTAGGCTGAAGCCTTCACTTAGACATATGCTGATGAATATGCATGCCTGCAACTGCAGCAGGGGAATCCCACATTTACACATAGTGAGACCCTCTACACCCTACCCACCCTATCCTTACAAAAGAAAAGAAAGAACGTGAGGTATGGCAGGTGTGCATTCATACTCACACAGACAGGGAGAGACATCATTGGAAAAGAAAAATGGAGCAGGAGCTCTCCCCTTCTCTTTGGTGGAGGAGCTTTGGTTAACAGATTCTTTCCTCTGTGAAGTCTGCGGTGCCATCACCCTCTCAAAGAGGAAGTGATTCACATCAGAATTTTCTGGAAACTATCACATTTTAAATAAAAGAAGATTGGCATTCGGTGTCTCTATCTGACATGTCAGATTGTTGCATCGAATGTCTGAAACACAGAATCAGACATGGGATAAAGTGCTTGGTCCCCATATAAAGAATTATAAACCTCGAAACTTAAAAGAAATTAAAATCATTAAGCTTCCTCCCCACCTCAGACCATAGCCAGAGTCAGATGAGAGCTGTCCAGTCTGTGGCTCACCTGCACTTGGTGAGGCCGCTCTGGATTGCAGCAGTGCCAGCCTGTGTGTTGGACCCTGCTTCTTGGCCTCCACCAGAAGTTCATAAAGAGCTGGAGAAGGTTCAGAATTCTCTTATAGGAACTTGAACATGAATACTCATTACCACTTGACAAACTGGAAACCATCCCGGTCAACTTTGGAAGCTGTTGAAGAGACTTGACTATAGAACGCCCCTATTGAAGCACACAGCACCTCAGATGAGCCTCAGAAAAAACTGCTGATGGGAAAAGCCAGTCTCAGAAGGATACAGCCCACATGATGCGTGCTTGTTTATCGACCTTGTGAAGTGACTGCTGTTAGGAATGAAAGCTGGTTTGGTCATAGAGGGGGCTGCTTGAGAGGTGATGGCACAGTTGTGCTTGATGGTAGTGCAGGTCATGCAAGGCTGTTCATGGACCTGGAATTCCACCCCCCCACCCACGCACACAAATCTCAGCCCCACTTGTGGTCTGAGCCAGTGCTGTTCTTGGCTTGGGACAGGGTCTTATGTAGCCCAGACAGTCTTAGAACTTGCCACATAGCCAAGGATGGTCTTGAACTTCAGGTCCTCCTGCCTCCATTTCCCAAGTGCTGGGATTACAGGTGTGCATCAGTACACTTGGCTTATGCAGTGCTAGGGATGGAACCCAGGTCTTTGTGCATGCTAGGTGAACAGTCTGTCAACTGAGCCACATTCCTAGCCCGTTGTGAGTAATTCTGAGGAAACCAAGAATGGTATAAAAGGAAAGGAAAACCAAGGCAGGGGTGCAGCTCCATGGTAGAGCATGTGCTTAGCATGCGCAGACCTCTAAGTTAAAAAATGCAGTAAAGGGCTGGGCGTGGTGGCACACACCTTTAATCCCAGCTCTAGGGAGGCAGAGGCAGGTGTATCTCTGTGAGTTGAAGGCCAGCCTGGTCTACATAGAGAGTTCCAGGCTGGGGCTACAGGGAGACCCTGTCTCAAGACCCCCCCAAAAAAAAATTCAGTAAAGAAAATAAATCAGATCTCATTTTTTAAAAAGAGCAAAATGGACTGGAGAGATGGCTCAGCAGTTAAGAGCACTGACTGCTCTTGCAGAGGACCCGGGTTTGATTCCCAGCACCCACATGGTAGCTACGAACCGTCCTTAACTCCAGTTCCAAGGGAATCCAAAGCCCTCTTCTGACCTCCACAGCATTGCACGACACAGGTGCACTCACATACATGCAGGCTGTACACTCAACTTGTGCACGTAAAATAAAAATAATAAAAATATATTAAAAAAAAAACAAATGTGAAACAGATTATGTTTATATGCAGTGAAGCTCCTGTATGCAGGGGCTGTTAGGATGGCTAGGGTTATTAATACCTTCTTGAACACATCCTGGCTCCTCTCCTTTAACTTCCCATTGCATAGTCCACTGGCCCACCGGCTTTGCTCCTTGGGGTAATTTATAGGACTCAGGTGGGACAGTGTTGGATATGGCTTTAAGCCCTGGTGACATGGCACTGCCCCTAGTGCCCCCTGAGGGCCCGTCTTGTGCTAAGGTGGGCCTGCAGGGCCCTCCAAGGTGCCCTTGTGGTTTCCTGAAAGGACCCTGTTGTAACTGGGGTTAGGGCTGTGTCTCTCCCCCTCCTTGACACTGGGGTTGCAGAGGGTGGCTGCTTGTGCTCTTGTTCTTGCTCCCTCTCTCAGGCTGTAACCTACACCTTGTGGGGCTCTGCTCTGCCACATACGGACCACACCTGGTTAGGCACTGTAATGAATTAGAAATAGCCTAGATTATTGAAGGTATTTTATTGAGACAGTCTTATGTAGCCCAGGCTGACCTCACACTTACTGTGTAACTTAGGATGACCTTGAACATCTGACCCTCCCGCCTCTACCCCCTAACAGTGCTGGGGATGCAGCACAAGGCTTCCTGCATGCTAAGGCAAGCATTCTATCAACTGAGCTGTATTATGCCTTTCCCTTGCAAATGTTTTTGATCATGTTTATTTGATTTTGCAGATTTTGACTTCAGTGTCCCCGGATCCATGAAGCTTCATAATCTAATCTCTAAATTGAAAAAATGGATCAAAATCCTTGAGGCTAAAACCAAGCAGCTTCCAAAATTCTTCCTCATAGAAGAAAAGTGTCGGTTTTTGAGCAATTTCTCAGCACAAACAGCTGAAGTGGAAATTCCTGGGGAGTTTCTGATGCCGAAGCCGACACATTACTACATCAAAATTGCTCGGTGAGTACAGGACCTGGCACTCAGTGGCACACAGGCTGTGAGTCGGCCTGGTGTGGGGGAGCACACAATTTATTTGGTGGTGTCTTCTGTGGCCTGAGTTGACTATTGGGTTAAGGTCCTGAGTGAAGACTGGGTTTATTTTCAGAGACCTTTTCTGTAAAACCTGGCAAATTGTTATCCCAGGCATTTGTTTTATTTATTATTTTTGTTTTATGGGTATGAGTATATTGCCTGCATGTATAAAGTACACCTATGTTGTGCAGAGGTCAGAAAGAGGGAGTTAAATTCCCCTGGAACTAGAGTTATGGATGGTTGTTAGCAGCCGTGTAGGTGCTGAGAACTGAACCCAGGTCTTCTGCAAGAGCAGCCAGTAAGTGCTCTTAACCGCTGAGCCTTCTCTCCAACCCCAATTTTTTGTTGTTGTTGTTTAAACAAGGTCTCACTATGTGCCCTGGCTGTCCTTGAACTCACTATCTAGACCAGGGTGGCCTCTAACTCACAGCAATCTGCTTCTGCTGGGATTAAAGATGTGCTCCACCACATCTGGCGTGTTTCTTAACTCTTAAAGTGTAGTATTAAAAGCAAAATTAGAGTTAGGTGAGATCCTATGTCACAAAGGGGGATGGGGGAGCAGATGGCCCAGTAGGTAAAGTGATCTGCTGGCTAGCCTGATGACCCGAGTTGAATTCTTGGAACCCACATGGTGGAGAGAACTGACTCCTGAAAGTTTTCCACTGACCTTCACAAGCACACTGTTGGTATAAGTATGTCAACACAGGTACACACAAAATGAATTGATAAAAATGTAATAAAAATATTTTAAAAACAAAATAAGTAAATAAAGCTAAAGGCTGAATGACAATTGTAAAAGCTTTCCAGAATGTGTTGCATTTCATTTAGATGTGGGAAGCACTTGGAGGAGGCCACCCTCAGCAGCTCCATGCACATTGCTTCTCCATATGCCCAGAACTCAGTTTCCCCCTCCTCCAGCTTGAGTTCTGACTGGCTGCCCTCCTCCCTGTCTTCTGTCAGCCATTGCCGCATTATAATCACATCTCTGTGCCCCATTAGAGTGGGGTGGGACAGATGAACTGGCCAGTTCCCACTGAGCCTCCCAACCTACTTCTCTGGGGCAGTTCTCAACCCTCTGTTTTCCCCTGAGGCAAAGCTTGGGCTCATGCCTCCATCTCTGCCTGGTTTGGTAGGTTTATGCCCCGTGTGGAGATTGTGCAGAAGCACAACACGGCAGCCCGCAGGCTGTACATTCGCGGGCACAATGGCAAGATCTACCCGTACCTGGTCATGAATGATGCCTGCCTCACTGAGTCGAGGCGGGAGGAGCGTGTGCTACAGCTGCTTCGCCTGCTGAACCCCTGCCTGGAGAAAAGAAAGGAGACCACCAAGAGGCACCTGTTCTTCACAGGTAGGAGAGGCCTGGAGAGCTGGGCCTTAGGGACACAGCAGCTCAGGCCAGTTTCAGACAGAGGAGGCCTTGGCCATGGAGCACCTGCAGTAAACCTCCCATGTTAGCCCCTCACTGTGAGATAAGAGCTCTGTGTTCAGTTCTGCCTCCTCAAATCCAGCTCTAGAGTATTTGGGGGGGGGAGCCAGGTATTGCCTGGCTGACTATGCACTGTGGAGACTGGTATACCTGTGTCTGCCTTCCCGAGTGCAGGTTTCACCTGAGAGAGCAGCAGACATCACTGTAGGTAGTACTGCTGAGCACAATCTTTCTACATCTGCTGACTTTAATGTGTCGCCTCTGAGGTTGGGTGCCCTCTGTGATATCTGTTGGTCTAAGATATCTGACCTTTAACTTTTATTACTTCACAGTAAGTAGATTCAGGGGCTAGAGAGGACTCAGTGGTTTAGAGCACTTACTGCTCTTGCAGAGGACATGGGTTCAGTTCCCAACACTCAAGTGGTGGCTAACAACCGTCTGTAACTCCAGTTCTCTTCTGGCCTCCACATATACATACCCAAACACAGATTCACATGCATGCATATAAGCATACAGATAAATCTTTTCAAAAAACCAGTAGATTAAAAAGGAAATCTGATTGTCACGTGTCCTGAAAAACTGTGTGTCCTTCAGCATGTATGGAGCAAGGTCTGTGTGCTGATCATAGCCATAGGTCACTGTTCTTTGCTTCTTCGAATAAATTGATCAGTGTTCACTGAGGAGTCCAGCTTGTGCCCTGAGTCCTGGGAACTCCTCATGGATGTTCCAGGGCAGGAAGCCAGCAGCTGTAGTAGCCAACACTACATCAAATTAAGAGTCCTCATTCATCAGAAAACAGAATCAGTTGTGTGTGTAGCCCACTGGCACTACCTCATTGGGCTCAGCAGCTGGGATGGGTTCACAGCTAGGAAGTCAGTTTTTCAAGCTTCCCTCACGGTGGTGAAGAAACTGACATTCCCACAGGCCCCAGTGGCATTGTAGGAGGCAGCATTGTGATGCAGAGGAGGCAGGCAGGCTGCAGGTGGGGTCCCTCTGGACCACTCCCCCTGGATTTAGGAGTGTGATCATGTTTGATGCCGTCATAGACTGTGCAAGAAGCCACACCTCAGCACCGCAGGGTTCTGGGCATAGCTTTGGGCTCCTGTTAAGAGTTTAGTTGTGCGTGTGCCCTTACTTGAACCACAGGACACAGAAGGAGCCGTGTATCAGTTATCTGATTGTTTAGAGATGGAGCCAGCTGTTTCTCCTACAGGAAGGCAAGTCAGTAAACCATGTTAGTAGCTGTCTTAGAACCAGAGGGCTGGGTCTGTCTCCTGCTAGAAGCCAGGTAAGGAAGGCCTGAGAGCATACTGGGCAGTCCTTAGCTATTAATTTTCAAGGTTACTTTAAAGAATCTGTCTTTGAGCACAGAGTGAGGCTTAACTCCCACAGGTTATGCTTTGAGCCATCTGAGTAAATGGGATGTGTGACCCCAAGTCCTTGTGGTTTCATCTCGTCCTTCGTCTCTTTGCTTGCATGGCAGGTCACCCATGCTCTGGGATGGGAAGGGTTGCTGAGTGCTAATTCGCTCATTCTCCTCTTTCCCCCTTTCCTTCCTCAGTTCCAAGGGTTGTGGCCGTGTCCCCGCAGATGCGCCTTGTAGAAGACAACCCCTCTTCACTTTCCCTCGTGGAGATCTATAAGCAACGCTGTGCCAAGAAGGGCATTGAGCATGACAACCCCATTTCCCGATACTACGACAGGCTGGCCACAGTACAGGCACGGGGGACCCAGGCCAGTCACCAGGTACCAGGCGGGGCCAGGCAGGAGGCAGGCTGCTGTCATGGACCTCTCTCCACTCCACTTTGTTACCATGGTGCCAGGGTGACAAGGGTATCTGGGAAATGAGTGAGGTGTTCCATGAGGGATACCCCCCTCACCTCCCATGATACGTGAGAAATTGGGTGACTGGTGACCATCTGCAGAGGGTTTGTGGTGAGGTTTTCAACCTGGGAGAATCTGTTGTCCTCTCCCTACACTTACAGAGAAGTTTGGAAATTAGACTTTAAACACCAGTGGACAGCACTGTCCTAACTCGAAGTGATGCAAGCCTGTTTGCACTCTGTTTATAGCTCGCTGTCTGAGTTCCCCTGGCATGTTCCTAGGGCCTTGGATAACAGTGCATGTCTATACCCTATGGGTTTTCTAAAATGCAAACTGTGGCCAACCCTGAAATCCTTGGGGCCCAGCTATTTGGGTTTCCTGAAGTAGGAGCACTGAGTGGGCCACAGGAATCCCAGACAGCCTGTGCCTATATCTCCCAGGGTGACAGAGGGCCCTCTCCTTGTTTGTAGATTCCTGCCCTTGACTGGGAAGATTTTGTCCAGGGTTTTGTGGAGCAGAGGCAGCAGTTTTGGCCCCTCCCCAGGTGCATCACCAGGAGAGGCCACGGATAGAAGCCGTGTGACCTGCCCTGTGTTGCCCAAGGGCCCATTGCAGTTTCTCTGGGTCCTATAACACTTGCTTTTGTTTAGGAGGATGGAGCTCACCCCATGGGTGATCCTTCTACCTCCATAGCACAGAGAGCCTGAGGTGGTCCCTAGGGAGGCAGCCTCCTACAGGCAGAGGAAGTGGGTCCACGATTGCTCATTGTCCTCTGGTAACCTGTGTTTGAGAACCAGTGTTGGGATGTTAGACAGCACAGGTCATGGCTTGGTCATTTTGTGGACCATGGGCAATGTGAGGTATGGATGGGAAAGACCAGCATTTCACTCTGAGAGTGGAAGCCAGTGGTCTGCAAATCATGTCTGCTTCACAGACAATCTGAGAAGCTGGTGTGGGGCCTTGCAGAAAGGCTGGCCACAGTGAATTCCCAGCTTCTCAGCCCTTCTCTCTACCTAGTTTGTTTTATTGCTGGCTTTGTTCCTTCATTTTCCTATATTTAATAACGCTTACTGAGACAGAATTCACACACCATGCAGTTTACTTTTGAAAACCTGTTTAATGGTGTTCACAGCTTTGCAGCCACCACCACGCTCTGTCTTTACAAAATTTCCCTCACCAGTCACCTGTCACAGCCCATTTCTCTCCACTTTGGCTCCTGGTGGGCCACGGACCTTTCTGCCTCTCCGGATCTACCTATTATGGACGTGACAAGAATGGAATTGGACTTGTGTGTCCGCCCACTTCCACTTTGAATAATGATGTGATTCTGCTTTGTAGCATGTTTTCTGGTGTATGAACATACTACCTTTTAATTTATCCCTTATCACCTGATGGACCTCAGAATGATTTACACTATAATGGGACCTGCTGTAGACATTGTTGCACATGTCTTTGTGTGAACATAAGTTTTCATTTCTCTTCAAGACAGATAGACAGACAGACAGACAGACAGACAGACACACACACACACACACACACACACACACACACACACACACACACCTAGGAGTAGAATTGCTGGGTCACTTGCTAGCTCCTTGTTTAACATTTTGATGAACTCTTCCAAAGGGCCTGCTGTGGTATTCTAATTCCTTACATCCATGCCAACAACTTGCTATTGCCTGTCTGTTTGATTGTAACCATTGTGGTGGGTGTGAGGTTCTAGCTCACTACAGTTGGTGACTGGTGACGACAGGTATCTTGTCAAGTGTTGACTGGATACTTGGAGAAATACCTGTTCAGGTTTTTTTGCTGATTTTTAAATTGGTGATTTGTCTTCTTAGAGTGAGTGCCAGGAAATGTTTTTCCGACACAATGGCTCTTCAAGACTTGCTCTGAAAAGTCCCATGTCGCCTTTAAAGTCATTTCAGTCTGGCAGGAGCTGATGACAGTCTTGAGGGTTGAGCCTAGGGCTGCACGCATGCTTGGCATGTGCTCTACTGCTGAACTGCAACCCCAGCCCGTGATTTGACTTGTTTTGTCTGTCAGCTCAGATGCTGTGAATTGTTAGGTTTCACGTCTGTTTTGCCGTGTTTGTCTCGGGGCATGCTGTTAGCAGCATGCATGATCCAACATTTTGAAACTCTGTGTTTGCCCTTGCTTCCTTCATGGGCAGAGCCTCACAGTCATACAGAGTGAGAGTGTGTACCTGACCTTCAAGGTTCCAGAGCCCCTGTGGCATCTCCTGCCCCAGCTCTTCTATTTAGCCAGCCTCTTGTGGTTCTGGCTTGTGACGGCCTCTGGCACCTGCAGTGTTATATAGTTTCAGTGACTGTCTTCAGCAAATGCTTTTGGGACTGAGTGAACTTAGTTCAGACAGGGACAAACCCTGTCAGTGAGATTTTTCTACAGAATGCTCCCAGACAGGTCAGAGAGGAACAGCTCTATAGGGATGAGGTTTTCCCACTCCAGTCACCATGACACTAGATTTCACCAGCCTGGGTGTGTTGCTCTCAGCAATCCTAGCTGCTATGGAGCTGGACAGAAGTACATGTGAACCGCTACCAGGTCCCCTGTTCCTACCAGGACTTGGCCTGCTGTTTTTGGGTGGGAACTCCTTGGACTGTCAGGAGCCTTTATTTCCAGAGGTCTGGGAAAATTGGTCTTGGCTTTTGGTATGGGGAGGTCTTGACAGTTCACATTCTACAGTTTTAGAGAGGTGCTGTCTGTACCACAGAGGACCTGGGTATGGAACTGAGACTGCCGTAGAGCTGCGTCTACCAGCTGCATTAATGGAACCAAGTAGCTTGATAAATGCTTCCTGATGCTGTCTCAAGTGTGCAGTCTGATAGCCTTGCAGGACAGAACTGTAAATGTCTGTTCTGTTTTTGAACTGGCTTTTAGGTTTATTTAACTTCTCTCATGTATTTGAAAAGAGGTGTTATTGGTACCAAGCTACTCTTTGGTTCTTTTTCTTAACTGGCCCGATAACTCCCTGAGTCATCAAGGGTAGAGGTGGTTTCATATATCAGCTGCACTCGTAGATAGCACACATCCCATAGCTGCGGCTTCTAGTCAAGCCATTGCCCAGCATCTGTGTTTCAGAGATTTGGAGGGAAACTGCAGTGTTGCAAACTCTCACATTCAGTCAGCTGACAGGCAGCAGAGTTCTTCAGTTGGTACCAAGTAAATGAAGAGTTGTGATTTGAGAACTTTCCATTTGCAGGGAAAAGGCAAAGAGTCACGTAGTGATGTGTTTCAGGTCCTCCGAGACATTCTGAAGGAGGTGCAGAGCAACATGGTGCCCCGAAGCATGCTGAAGGAGTGGGCCCTGCACACTTTCCCCAATGCCACAGACTACTGGACCTTCCGGAAGATGTTCACCATCCAGCTGGCACTGATTGGCTTTGCAGAGTTTGTCTTACATCTGAATAGACTCAACCCGGAGATGTTGCAAATCGCTCAGGTAGACTCTGCACCTACTCTGTTACTGCCCATGACACCCTTAAAAAATGTTTCCCTCTCTGGGCTGGAAAGATGGCTCATCACTTAAAGCACAGACTGCTCTTACAGACAATGGTTTCCAGCACCCGCATGGTGGCCAACCACTGTCTGTAACTCCAGTTCCAGGAGATAGAATGCCCTCTCCTCGCCTTGATGAGCATTGCATGCATATGGTGCACTTACATACCCGCAAACAAAATATTCATTAAAAAATAGGTGGTAGCATATGCCTTTAATCCCAGCACTCGGGAGGCAGAGGCAGGTGGATCTCTGTGAGTTCAAGGCCAGCCTGGTCTACATAGTGAGTTCCAGGACAGCTGGGGCTACAGAGAGACCTTGTCTCAAAAAGACAAAATAAATAAATTAAATAAATAAATAAATAAATAAATAAATAAAATTTTTTAAATTAAGAAAAACTATCTCCCTCTGAAACACAGGACACAGGCAAGCTGAATGTTGCTTACTTTCGGTTTGATATAAATGATGCAACTGGGGACTTGGATGCCAACCGTCCTGTCCCTTTCCGTCTCACACCCAACATTTCTGAATTTCTGACCACCATTGGTGTCTCTGGCCCACTGACCGCCTCCATGATTGCTGTTGCAAGGTGCTTTGCCCAGCCCAACTTTAAGGTAAGTCTCAGCATCTTCCTTTGAGAAGCACAGACAGTGCACCATGCTACCTACCCACCTGGGATAGTGGGGGCCTTGTAGGACCTGCTGCCCTGCTCACAAGGAGAAAGAACCTTGAAGTGGAATATTTGGGAAAGGTTTAGAATATTCTTTTGTCTAAAAGTGTGCAGGATGTGGATGAGACTATTTGGCAAAAAGAAATCTAGAACCCCCTGTTGGACCACTGCCTATCAGTTGTGGCTTTATTTTTTCTGGGACAGGGTTTCACTGTGTAGCTCTGGCTGACCTGGAACTTGCTATGTAGACCAAGCTGGCCTTGAACTCACAGTTATCTGTCTGCCTCTGCCTCCTGAGTGCTGGGATTAAAGGCATGCACCACCAAGCTTGGCCTGGGGTTGCTAGGGAATATGACATGATAGCTTTATTTGGAGAGGGGTGTACATGGCAGTCATGCAAGTGGGGTTCCGTGGTTGCTAGGTGCTTTGTTGGGAAAGTGCTTTGTTGTGTGTAGCTCATTCCAGGCGGGGTCCTGAGTTGCTAAGTTGCTCACCTCCCTCACCAAGATGTCCTCGGCCACCTGGCAAGCACAGGCCACTGCTTTGCGCACCTTGGCAGCACACAGCATTCAAACCTTTGATTTCTGGGTGCCCTCCTTGTGCGTAGGGTTTCACTGGCTGCATTTCAGTTGTTCTTACTACGTTCCCTCTGCATCAGGTGGGTAAATTGAGACCAGGGCAGCACAGTCAAAACTGGACAGGGGCTGGGGAGCAGGTTGCAGCCTGACCTGGGATTGAATTTCAGTTCATCCTGTATAGATCCACAGAGTGCCTCCCTTACGCCGAGGGGCTCTCAGTGGGCTGGGCCAGTTCTCCTTTGTTCCTTCTTCTGAGAACTTGTGTACCTGCATTTTTCTTTTGCTCCCCAGATACACAGTTTGCATCTGAGGAAGGCTTCAGAACTTAATTGCTTTTCAGAAACATTGACTCTGAATGGTTGGATTTTGAGACATGGTCTCACTGTGTAACTGAGTAGTCCTCCCACATTAGCCTTTGTGTTGGGTTTTGGGTGTATTCCACCATGCTCATAGGTCAGACCTGCCTGAAGCCAGGTTTCTTTTTGGAGGGAAACAGGGTCTACTATGTAACCAACCCTGCTTGGCCTCAAACTCAGAGATCCGCCTTCCTCTGCCTCTGAGTGCTGGCATTAAAGGCATGCACCACCGTGCCTGGCAAAACCAGATTTCTTCACAGTCCACATCTAGTGAGTACCTTTTGGTCACACTGAGGTGCACACCATCTTATGTCCCAGATCCTACTCCTTTGGCACCAAGCGAAGCAGAATAAAGCCCAGCTTGTCAGTCTGAAGTCCTTGGCCTCAAGTCCAAGGCTCCACCAGACCATGCTCGTCACCTGCCACTGCCCCTCTGGTGGTTGGAGTGATTCTTTTGGACAAGAGCCATGTCTCAGTTACTGTCTGATCGGGACCCTTTTGTCATTCCCTGCTCACTCGGAGTAAAGGCCGAGCTCTGATGACAGCCCCTGAGGCTGAGCCACCGCAGGTCTGCTAGATGCTGGTCTGCACACTATGTTCACTCACTCCTTTAATCTCCAACTGGTTTTGGGGGAAAGGATGTATTCCTATGCCCTGATGACAGATGAGGAAACTGAGGCATGGGGATTACTTAAGTAATTACTTAATTACTTAACTTTGCAAGGCTTCTCAGATAGGAGTGGTAGAGGCAAGGCATGAACCTGAGCTGTGACTCCACAGGTGGCCTTGGGAGCACCATGGCTTTGCGCAGCCTCCCCAGGCTCCCCAGCCACTCCAGCCTCTGCAGCTGTGCTCATCCTGTAGTGCCACATGGGCACCCTCACATCAGTCTCCTCCTCAGTGTGGCCTCAGCTGTGGATCATCTCTGGGTTCCTTTGAGAGCCTCCACCTTGCACCCTCAGTGTGCCCTTGCCCCAGGATATCCTGTATCACTTAAGATGTGAACCCCTTGAAGCATGGAGCATGGTGGTTTCCCATCTTATTCTCGGCTGGTAACGGACAGCTGGGGGAATGTGTTGAGTCCAACAGACACATTATACATCACACATTGGTCCACCATGGCAGTATGCTGCACCCAGACATGTGCTGCCCTGGCTTTCTAAAGACAAGGACATCTTGTCATAGAGGAAGTGGCTTCTTAGTCTCCACGTGGCTGGCATGTCTGCTGTAGCCTGGCCCAGCCTACCCTCAAGCTGCCTCAATCTTTCCTGGTGGAATACCAGCCCTTTCCCCCTTTGCTTTGCACAGGTAGACGGCATTCTGAAAACAGTGCTCCGGGATGAGATCATCGCTTGGCACAAAAAGACCCAGGAGGACACTTCCTCTCCCCTCTCGGCTGCTGGGCAGCCCGAGAACATGGACAGCCAGCAGCTGGTCTCTCTGGTTCAGAAAGCTGTCACGGCCATTATGACCCGCCTGCACAACCTGGCCCAGTTTGATGGCGGGGAGAGCAAGGTGAACACACTGGTGGCAGCTGCCAACAGCCTGGACAACTTGTGCCGCATGGACCCCGCCTGGCACCCGTGGCTGTGACCACATCTGCCACCCTACCCAGAATGTGAAGGGCCTGGAATTTTGTGGTGGATTCTTTATGATCCTCTTGCCTCTGTGAATGGGCAAGCTGTAGGAAGCACTTCCTTACGTGTGTCCCTTTTAAGTTCCAGAAACAACCTCAGAGCAGCTCTGTGCTTCTTTATAGACCTGTAACCAGTGTCCAGGAAACTCAGTGTCTGAGAAACAGCAAATCAGGAACAAACGGAGTTGTTGCGTTGCGTTTTGTTTTGTTGTGTTTTCTTTCCTCTGAGCACAAATGTTTATGCCGTCACCGGCTTTGGGACTCTTCCTAAGTTTTGGACACAGCTGAGCTTGTGTCGCCTTGTGAGGGAAAGGTATCCCTTGCCACATTGGATTCCGACTCAGCTGTGAAGGCCAGCAGGTGACCTTGCACTTTTACTGCTGGCTCTTTGGATATCTTCTACACATTACTGTCATTGTACCTGGAAAAAAAAAAAAAAGGAAAGAAATTTTTTTTCCTTCCTAATTTAAAAAGAAAGCAGTAGTTTTCCCCTTTAGTCTTTCTGTTACGTTGACATTTTTATAAGTCTGAGCTTTGAGAATGTTCTAAATTTGTACAGTGTGATTTTTTTTTTTTAGAATAAATATTTTATAAAAGGATTTGTCATCTTTTATTTCTGTGAGGTGTACACTGGCTCCTCAGGGACAGAGTGGGCTGTGGCTTAGTGATAGTGGCTGGGCACACACAGCCACCTGTGGTCACAGGTAGGTGAGGTCTTGGCTCCAAGGGTCAGAAGCCAGTATGTTCAGTTCTATAGTGACAGTACCATGCATTGGGCAGGGTGGCAGCATGCCCAGTCTGTCTCTTCCTGCTGCCCTGTAACCATGTGTGGACTGTGTTGGGGACCTGGGTTGGAGCCCAGCCATATGAGCTCAATGTCTGTCCACTCTCAACTTGAACAGGTTTTGGGAAAGCAGTATGGACAGAGTTGCTGGTAGATATGAGGCAGCACCAAGCTCATGACAAAGGATCCATGGCAATTACTAAAAACATGGCTCTGAACCTAAAGGGGCTTGCTGTTGGGCAGCATCCAGTACCCACGAGGACAGCTGCGTATGAGGCACGGGGATGGACCCACAAGGACCCCTCTTGGCCCTGGACTTTCTTCTGCCTCTCCTTGTCCCTGATGTGCTTGGGCCATCTCCTAAAGTGAGTTGTCAAGTTCGAGGGGACACAGCCTCATGGCTCCTTTGTGAGAAGATACTGTAAGATGCTAGGCACATGGCTGTGTCATGACTTGGCTAAAAACTCCTTTGTAGCAGTTTGGTCCCAGCAGCCACACTCCAATCTTTCTATGGGTCCCCAGTTGGGGTAGTGGGCCCTCAGCCCAGGAGATGTGGCTCTCTACTCACAGACAAAGGATTTCCTGTTCAGAGGGTGAGGAGTACATCCAAGGTCCCAGAGCCTAAACAGGATTGTTTCAACCAGCTCACCTCCACTGCACCCCTTATTACAGACTGGGGCCAAGGGGCCAGATGGTGCCTGTCTGACTGGACTCTTAACCATTCTTCACAGCTAGTTAGGTTCCTCAGGTGGGAGAGAACTGCCTTTGTGAGGAGGTGTCTAGCATGCTGGAAAGGCAGGAGTTGTGGCTGCAGACTGGTGGCAAACAGATCACACCCCATGATGTTAAATGATAAAGGAGCCCTTTGATTCTCACCTTGACCATCCAGACAAGAGTCAGTGCTGCTGGTTAACAAGAGGCTTAAGGTTCCCTTGCCAGGGTCTGCCATTTCATGCTCCAGCAATTTGCCTCTGCTTTGCTGGGTAAACCAACTTTCCAACAATGTCAGCAACAGAAGAGAGTCTTCCTCAAAAAGACTCAGCATCTGAGCTTCCAGCATAAGACAGGACCCCACATCAGGTTTCTGGGATTCCTTGAGTGACCATGAGTCTTGGAGGCCTGAGCCCAACATGGTGGTAATTCTGGGAGCTGGGCTCAAGGCTTCCTGCTTGGGAAGTAGGTAAGAGTCAGAAAAGGTTCATTTATGGAGATCGCACGATTGATTTGACAACTACAATTTTGAGGTAAGTATTGTTAAAAGTTTTCAAATATTTCTTAAAATGATAACATCACATTTTGATCATTTAAAAAAATTCTAAATCTTTGTGTTTTATCTGCATGTAAATGCACCAATGCATGCAACGCCCATGGAGGCCAGTAGAGGAGGTCGGATTCCTTGGAACTGGAGTTACAGCTGGTTATGCTGCTATGTGGGTGCTAGGAACCAAACCTGGGTCCTCTAAGAGCAGCCAGTGCTCCTAACCACTGAACCATCTCTCCAGCCCCAATTTTATTAAAAATTTTTTAATTTTATTTTTATTTTATGAGTATTCTGCCTGCACGTATGTAAGTGCACAGTGTATGTGCAATCCCTGTGGAGGCCAGAAGAGGGCATAGAATCCCCTGGAACAAGTTAATGGACAGTAGTCACCTGCCATGTGGGTGCTGGGAACCAAACCTGGCTCCTTGACAAGAGCACCCAATGCTCTTAACTCCTGAGCCATCTCTCCAGCCCCTTGGTCATCATATAAATGGACCACATTTTCATTATCCACTCATCAATTGAGGGACACTTAGGTTGCTTCCATCTCTGAGCTGTTGTGAAAAGAGCAACAACAAACATGGATGTACAAATATCTCTGCAATAGGATGAGTTCTTTGGGTATATGCCAAGGAGTGGTATAACTGGGTCAAATGGTAGGTTCATTTGTAGTTTTTTAAGAGTTCTCCACACTGCTTTCCATAGGGGTTGAACAAGTTTGCAGCCCCATCAGCAGTGGATGAGTGTTCCCCTTTCCCCACATCCCCTCCAACATTTGGTATCATTTGTTCTCTTGATCTTAGCCAGTCTGACTGGGGTAAGGTGAAATCTTAAAGTAGTTTTAATTTGCATTTCCATAATAGTGCTGTTGAACATCTTTTAAGATGTTTCATAGCCATCTTTACTTCTTCTTTTGAGAACTCTCTGTTCAGCTCCTTAGCCCATCTTTTAATTGGGTTACTTCTTGTCTTGATTCTCTGTTTTTTGAGTTCGTTATATATTCTGGATATTAAACCTCCGTCAGATGTGTTGCTGGTGAAGATTTTCTCCCGTTCTTTGGGTTTTCTGTTCACTTCCCTGGTTGCCTCTTTTGATGTACAGAAGCTTTTTAGTTTAATGAGGTCCCATTTGTTGATTCTTGACCTTGTTTCCTGAGCGATTGATGTCCGGTTTAGAAAATCCTTTCCTACACTTACATCTTGTAGGTTTTTCCCAATGTTTCCTTCTAATAGTTTCAGAGTTTCAGGCTTTATATTGAGGTCTTTGATCCATTTGTAATTGACATTTGTGCAAGGTGAGAGATAGGGATTTAGTTTCATTCTTCTACAGGTGGGACATCCAGTTTTGCCAGCACCATTTGCTGAACATGCCGTCTTTCCCCCAGTTAATGTTCTTGGCCCCTTTGTCAAATATCAGGTGGCTGAAATTGCAATTATTCATATTTGGGTCTTCAATTTTGTTCCATTGATCTATGGGTCTATTTTTGTGCCACACCATGTTGTTTTTATGACTATAGCTCTGTAATACAGCTTAAAATGTAATCCCCCTGGCATTGCTCTTAGTGCTTAGGGTTGCTTTGGCTATCCGAGGTCTTTTGTGCTTCTATGACTCTTAGGATGGCTTTTTCCAACTCTGTGAAGAAGGTCATGGAGATTTTGATTGGCATTGCATTGAATCTATAAATGCCTTTTGGTAGGATAGTCCTTTCATAATATTAATTCTTCCAGTCCATGAGCATGGGAGGTCCTTCCATCTTCTGATGTCTTCCTCAATCTCCTTCATTAAAGATTTAAAATTTTCATTGTAGAGGTCAGGTTTGTTCTGAGATTTTTTTCTTTTATTTTGCGGCTATTATGAAGGGCAGTGTTTCCATGTACTCTTTCTCTTGATTGCTTGTTATTGGTATATAGAAAGGCTATAGACTTTTGTAGATTAATTTTGTAACCTGCCACTTTACTGAATATGTTAATAATTTCTAAGAGTTTGCGCGTGGAATTTTTGGCGTCCCTTAGATATATTATCATATCATCTGCAAAAAGGTATAAAAAAAAAATAGGGATAATTTGATCTCTTTTCCAATTATTACTCCTTTAGTTTCCTGCTCTTGTCTTATTGCTCTTGCAAGAGTTTCAAGCACTATGTTAAAGAGAAGTGGAGATAGTGGACAGCCTTGTCTGGTTCCTGATTTCAATGGGAATGCTTCCAGTTTTTCTCCATTTAGAATGATGTTGGGTGTGGGTTTGTTGTCTATAGCTTTAATTATGCTGAGGTATGTTCCCTCAAGTCCAATTCCCTCTAGGACTTTGAACATAATTGTATGTTGAATTTTTTCATATCCCTTCTCTACATCTAGTGAGGTGGTCATGTGATTTTTGTCTTTGAGTCCATTTACATGATTTATAATATTTATTGACTTGCATATATTTTTTAAGACTTGGTTTTGTTTTGGCTAAGACATATCTGCACCTAAACCTGTTTCTTCATGCTGACATCTGGCACAACTGGGCGGAAATATGGAGCTTGATCACATCTTTATGCTCATTAAGGATATGGGTGTATAGTTTTTTTTGTTTGTTTGTTTGTTTGTTTTTGGTTGTATCTTTACCTGGCTTTGGTATTAGAGTGATGCTGGCTTCATAGAAGGAATTTAGAAGTTCTTCCTCCATTTCTATCTTTTTGAATAAATTAAGTAGTATTGGATTTAAATCTTCTTTAAATGTCTGATAGAATTCTGCTGTAAATCTATCTGGTCCTGGGCTTTTTTTATTTGGGAGTTTTTGTATTACTGTTTCAATTTCTTTTTGTGTTATGGGTCTGTTTAAGCCTTTAATCCCTTC